TAAAGCTAGAAATCTAGGTGTAGTCATGGACTCTGACCTGAGTTTCAACAGTCACATTTAACCAGTTACTAAATCAGCCTACTATCACCTAAAGAATATATCTAGGATTAAAAGACTAATGTCACAGCAGGATTTGGAAAAACTTGTCCATGCTTTTATCTTCAGTAGACTGGACTACTGCAATGGTGTCTTCACGGGTCTCACTAAAAAATCTATTAGGAAGCTGCAGCTGATTCAGAACGCCGCTGCTCGAGTCCTCACTAACACTAAGAAAGTGGATCACATCACTCCTGTTCTGAAGTCTTTACACTGGCTTCCTGTGTGTCAAAGAATAGATTTCTAAATACTGCTGCTGGTTTATAAAGCATTGAATGGTTTAGGTCCAAAATACATTTCCAACCTCCTGCTAAATTATGAACCATCCAGATCTCTCAGGTCTTCAGGGACTGGTCAGCTTTCTGTCCCCAGAGTCAGAACTAAACATGGTAAAGCAGCGTTCAGTTATTATTCTCCAAATATCTGGAACAAACTCCCAGAAACCTGCAGGTCCGCTGCAACTCTTACTACTTTTAAATCCAGGCTGAAGACTTTTCTTTTTGTCGCTGCTTTTAATTGAACTATTCATATCTTAAACTGCACTGTAACTTTTATACATGTATGTTTTCTTTTAATGTTTATTTTATTAGCTTTTCTTTTTAATGACTGATTTTAAATGCCATTTTCTTAATGTCTTTCATTTTTTGTAAAGCACTTTGAATTGCCTTGTGTTGAAAAGTGCTATATAAATAAACTTGCCTTGCCTAGGTCTTTAAAAGACAAAAACGACTTGATCTTGGCCAAAAGTCTTATTTTAAAAAGGCAGGTTTTGACTATGGAGCTGACCTGCTTATGAGTAAATGTACTTAGTTACTTTACACCACTGCTGCCTATCTTTTTCTGCAATGTCAAGCGAGTTTATCACAAGAGGTGTATCTTTTAAAGAAACTTGTGTATTTAAGATTGTGGTTTACCGTTATGGTTTTGCTTAAATTGTTATCAAAATCCATAATTTCTTAACATCATGCTATAACCTTCGCTTTTTTTACTGGATTGTTTAACCCGTTAAGGGACACCATTTTCAGATCTTTAAATTGCATCCTGATCTTTCTTTGAGTATACATTCCTCAATCTGACACAATTAATAACATAAAAAACACATGAAACATTAACACAAAACTGAACCTGAAAAGGAAGAGACTTCCAACTGTGGGGAGCAAGTCCATTCCCCAGTTCCTTGTTGGAGGGTGGAGGGGATATTAGTTATATTTTTTAGAGGGATGATTAGCCCGACTTGTGAGAGCTGGTTAATTATGCACCTAATCTCTACCCCATCTTCCCTGAAGTCAGGATATCATTAACTTGATGTTATGTGTAAAACATTTAATATATTTGACATATATTACTCAATCAATACATTTCTATATACATTTTTTACAACAGTAAGTTATGGCTAATATCAGTGTTGTAGTCAAGTCACCAATTCACAAGTCCAAGTCACTCTCGAGTCACCACTCTTCGAGTCCGAGTCCAAGTCCGAGTCACCAAGGGAGAGTCGTAGTCGAGTCCGAGTCCAAGTCCGAGTCACCCAAGGAGTGTCCGAGTCGAGTCCGAGTCATCATTACCTGTGTTCGAGTCCGAGTCCGAATCCGAGTCACCTAAGAAGAGTCCAAGTCAAGTCCGAGTCACCCAAGGAGTGTCCGAGTCGAGTCCGAGTCATCATTACCTGTGTTCGAGTCCGAGTCCAAGTCCGAGTCACCCAAGGAGTGTCCGAGTCGAGTCCGAGTCATTATTACCTGTGTTCGAGTCCAAGTCCGAGTCACCCAAGGAGTGTCCGAGTCGAGTCATCATTACCTGTGTTCGAGTCCGAGTCCAAGTCCGAGTCACCTAAGAAGAGTCCAAGTCAAGTCAGAGTCACAAGTCTTCATGTATTAATCTTCGTGGATATATGTGTTGAAATGTAGCTGCTCCTCTACATTGCTTTTATCCTGTCATGTTATACTAATCTGTCTATTGAACTGCTGTGAAGCCAGTTTGGCTACAATTCTTGTAATAGGTGCTATACAAATATAAAGCTTATTACTAATATTAATATTATATATAAACTATATTTAAAATGAGTTACCTTTTAGAGAAGTGATTATATTTGTATGTCAATATTTTCCTATGGTAAAGTTTTCGTTTTGCACTTTTATTTTGATAGTAATAAGATCGGGACTCTTATTTTGAAGGAACTTTTACCGGTTAGCGCAGAAAGCACATGGCTACTTAGCATGCAAAATGACGTCATTCTGCATGTTAAGTAGCCATGTGCTTTCGTGTTATCGGCTGAATCTTTATTTATTGATTAGATCACGTTACTCTGATGATAGTGTTCAAGACATCCTCTATGTCTGAACTCGATCCTTAGAGTAATGTGTTACGGAGCCTTCTCTTCAATCTTGTTTCCACATAACGAGCATTTTGCGCTGCTCTTTTCCAATGTGGAAGCAGAATGTGTGAAAGCATACAGCACGATGCGGATGTGTCTCTAGACATCTTTAGACTGGAATAGCTGGGCCCAGTACGTGAACTCGCCTCGCAGGTGCACACGCCAGGACAGAGGACATCAGACTCCAGAGAAAACTTGCTCGAGTCCGAGTCCAATTCGGAGCGTCAATGTACAAGTCGAGTCCGAGTCATCGTGGGGGGGAAAATTCACGAGTCCGAGTCCAAGTCATCCTGCGCGAGAATTCACGAGTCCAAGGCTGCAGTCGAATAGTCCATTTAGCTTAGGAACCTTCCTAACGGAGTGAAATGACCCGGAAGTCCCTCAGTGGCAGCCATGATAAGTGCCGTTCGAATTCTCTAGAATGATAGGAAAGGAGGTTTCAAACTTCCTTTATAACCTCCTTTAGCTTAGGAACCACTGGACCTCCCTAACCGAAAGGAGAGGAGTAAATGCTGCCCCACAATGCATTGCAGCCGCAGCATTTGACGTCACACAACAGTCGGCCGTTCACGGACACAAACGATTATGACGGATAAATGATATCATGAAAGTTACGGTGCTTATTAAGCATTTTAAAACGTATGTGGTAAGTTGCCAAAGTGCTTTGTTCTGAACGTTCATCAGTATTATAATCAAAAAGAGAAATATGAACGTTAGTTTTTACTGAAATGATCAAATAAAGTCAACATTTCACTGAGCTATGTGGGGTTTGTTCAACTTTTAAAATATGTTTGAATGGTGATATACACAGTGATAGATGTTAAAGACTAACGTTTATAATAAATACATTTGTATTGATTTTAAGATATTTTCATAGTTCATACAATCATACGTATTGGGATCATTTGTATTAATGTGGACCGGAGGGAGAGGGTGTCGAGCATACGTTTAACTTTTTTATTTCGATTCCAACTTTGGTCATGAAGAATATGTTTCTCTGTTGTCCACGTTCATAAAGCATAAAGCAACAGCATCAGAGCACGGTGCAGTCTCTAGATGAGTCCGTCGTTCTTATTATACATCCATGTTGTAGTCCGCTGTATAGAAAACTAGTTTCCATAGTTTCCCCACAGCAGCAGACGCACACAATGACGTCCGCTGGCGCATCATAAATACGTCGGATAGTGAAAGTGCATTCGGATTCTCTAAAGTACCACAGTCTCTTCTCCTAAGTCCTTTTGAATTCTCCTATCCACTATCCCTTAACCCCGTGACGTTTCACTCAGAGGTCAAGGAATAGGAGATAGGGTTAGAACTTAGGAGCTGATTTTTAAACTATCCGAACGCAACCCAAGTCCGAGTCACGTCAATCAGTGCACGAGTCCGAGTCGAGTCACGAGTGCCGAAAATCGGCACTCGGACTTGAGTACTCCATCTCTGGCTAATATACATATCTAAATGAATATTAATAAGGGACATTTCATTGATCATTTATAGGCAAACATGGCAGTCATGTGAAGCCCTCAAAAGCTGCGGGAAACCGGTGTAGGACGTGTGTGCGCGCACTGTTTTATAAATCTGAATATTTGTGTGCTTTTTTGTGTACAAAATACTTTTGTACTTCCTGTATTGTGTCCCTACGCAAGCCTTTCACATGAATCCCACGCAATGTTTTATAAATGAGGGCCATTGTGTCAAAGTTGTGTTCTATACTAAAAGTACAACTAAACTAAATTGTCATTTTTTTAAATTATTGATCCAAAGGAATAAGTCCATTTGCCAATGCCGAACAGCCTTCTCCTGCATTATAAAAATATGCAGTTAAAACAAACAACAAGCTAACAGAACAATGGTCAAGAGTTGGGAGAGGAAAACCCTGAATTTCCTATCAGTTACAATAAAATGATAAAATACATCATATATGTTGCTTCTTTTACAGGAAATAATTGCTCAAAATGTCTCATATCACATATTAAGCATGTTAACATGAACAGCTTCCTGCAGGTGTTATATGTTCAATATGTGAATTAATTAATTTGTTATGTACTGGTATTGTTATGTTAAAATTATAAAAAGTGGTCCCTTACGTAAAAAGAGATTGAGAAGCACTGATCTAAAAACACCTATGTTTAGATCATATCATTCAAAGTGTACTTTTAAATGCAAAACCGTTACATATACACATAACTCATTGGAGATGGGTTTGCAGCACAGACATACGAAGATATGCTGCAGTAAAGCAGGACATTTGTTTTATGTTCTAACTATGCAACAAATGAGGGAAGCACAATCCTTTCATCAGAGCAGAAAACAGGGTGACAGATTAGAGGACATGCTCACCCTCATGTATATTCATCAGAGTTGACAACATATTATCCTGTTAATAAAGAGCAATCCAATACAACTTGATTCATAAATACAAGCTGAGAAACAGCCCTCTGAAACTGTGGATTCATGTTAAAAATGATATATTTCAGAAATGCCTTCACTCTTACACAAGTAATGTTTGTAATGGTTTAACTGCGATACCAACCTTGGTGATATGTCACAACCCTGCCGCATGAAAGCCCCCAGAGAGAACCACAGGGAGTTGAAGATCCCAAACTCATTGGTGGATTCGGTTGTTAGTGGCAACGCTCCGTCCTCTGGTTCCTCTAGTGTCCACTCATAGGGGCTAAATCTGGATACCTGCAAGAAAATAGAGTCCTTTATACTACAGATTCTCCCCCCTCTCTATTTTGTGTAGTTTCCACTGTAAAAACGCTTTTCCATTCGATTGCATGGTGATATAGCGCTCCGTTCATAGGAACACATCTCACACACACTCCTTGCAGAGCATTATGTTTTTTCTGGAACTTCTTGGCTTTCGGGGGGTAAAACCTGTTAGCCAGTACTCTTTTTAGACAAACTCAGTCGAGGTTCCAACCAAGCTGAGTCGTTACACTAAGGTGGAGTTAAAGATCTCCTATCATGCTATTTTTAGGCATATATTATGGGTCTCAGATATATAAAAATATATAAAAAAACATGTCTATGATGTGTTTTGCTCAAAATACCAAACAGATCATGCATTTTAGACATCCCTCAGATCTCTCTGTTTCAGCCCTGTTATGCCCCTTTTCCACCAAACCGGTTCCGGTTCAAGATCCGTTCTTGTGCTTTTCTGGTGCTGAACTGGTTCTTCTCTGTAGCACCACTTGTGTTTCCACCACTCAGAGCCCGACTGGTGCTGCCGTTGCTGCGTCATGATGTCACTGTTTACGTTGCTCCCAAACGCGACTCACAACAACAACAATTAATGACTGCGTCAGGTCAATGATCGTGTTTCTTTTAATCGTTAGAAGCCAGATTAAATTTAAGAACTACTTCTCAACCGTTGTACTTTTGCCGTGGTTCATCGTTTATTAATGTGGTTCAGCTGCATTTACCGACCGCTGCAGTGCTGCTCGTCGAGTTTATTCTCCCGTTAACTCACGGCAGCGGCCGCTGTAAAGTCTTCACTGTCTGACTGTCACACAAGCAGCTGATGAATATTCCCCATCCCCATAAGTGATTGTGTTTCAGTATGAATTTACGCTGTTTGGCATCACAACGCTGTTATGAAAGTTTATCTGGTATAAAATGGGTGATGTTAGCATAGAAACCAAAGCTAATCCGACTATCTTGACTACTTGTTGCTATCCTATTGTGGCATAAGCCGTTTTCCACAGGCACATTTTAACGGCGTATTTTTCATTATGATTCTACTTGTGATAGTCGGACATGACAACCTGTGTAGCCCATGTATTGATTCCATCCGATAGCTTGATTGTTAAATGCGCCAGTGAAAGATGGCCGCATTGTCTTGTGGTTCCTCTCCAACTTTGCCCTTTTTCGTTTATTTACTTTTTGTCGTTTGCTTTTAACATGCAAGCCGACCGCACCAACTCTGCTATACAATATAGCAGAGAGGAACTTCTTCACATCAGAAACTTTGTGGACAATAGCCCACCGACAGACAATGGAGATTCGCCATGGCTACCTGTTGTCCTACCTGAGAGATGCAAGAAGAAGACCAAGCGGGGGTCCCTCTTCCTAGTATTCTTCTGGCTAATGTTCAATCGATTGAAAATAAGCTTAACTCAGAAGTCGGATTGCTTTTCAACGGGACATTAAGAACTGTAATGTAAAAAATGACATGTAATGTAATGTGTTCATTCTCACGGAGACTTGGCTAAACCCCACTATCCCGGACTCCGCCATTGTTCCTGACGGATTCACTATTTTTCGCCAGGACTGGACAGTTAACTCGGGGAAAAGTAAAGGTGGCGGTGTGTGCGTCATGATAAATAAGAACTGGGGTACAGATGTGAGGATTATTTCTTCGGACTGTTCTGCTCATTTAGAGCACCTCATGATCACATGCCGGGCTTTTCACCTGCCGAGAGAATGTACATCTGTTGTGATCACAGCAGTGTATATTCCGCTGCTCGCCGACAATGACGCGGCACTCGATCAGCTGCTTGGGATTATCGACAAGACCGAGACTTCACGGCCAGAGGCCGTGTTCGTTGTGGTCGGGGATTTTAACACCGCCAACATGAAAAAGGTCCTGCCAAAGTACTACCAACACATCAGCTGCCCGACTTGCAGGGGAAACATACTGGACCATGTTTATTCCCCTTTTCTACATGGATATAAGGCTCTCCCTCGCCCTCCCTTCGGCAAATCAGACCACATCTCACTGCTGCTGCTAAAAACTCAAAACTAAAACGGGATAGACCGGTAACAAGGACAGTACAACGATGGAGTGAGGAGTCAGATTCAGCACTGCAGGATTGCTTTGAATCTACGGAGTGGGGTGTGTTTGAGGACAACAACAACATCAACACACGGTCATCTGCTACCTTGGGAAATGCATCGATGACGTGGTACCAAAGGTTTCTGTAGGAACAATCCAGAATCAAAAGCCCTGGATAAACGGCGAAGTGCGTGGCAAGCTGAAAGCGCGCACTATCGCGCACAGAGCTGGAGATTTGGAGGAGTACAGGACATCTAGGTATGAACTCCAGAGTGCTATCAGCAGTGCAAAGAGACAGTACAAAGACAGGGTGGATCTGACTTCAAAGGCTGTAACACCCAGAACATGTGGGCGGGACTAAGAACAATGACAGACTACAAAGGAGCAGCGGGGGGGTGCTGCGGGAGTGTCTGTGTGCGCATCTCTCCCAGACGAGCTTAACAGTTTTTTTGCTCGCTTCGAGAGCAGCCAGGCTGTGGAGGCACAGAGGGACCAGGAGCCCTGCCCTTTTGTTTTAAACAGGGCAGATGTGTGCAAATCCTTTAAAGGGGTTATGATCAGCCACACAATGCTCCTGGACCTGATGGCATCCCTGGCCGTGTTCTCAGGGTGTGTGCAGTCCAGCTGGCAGAGGTGTTCACAGACATCTTTAACAGGTCCCTGCTGCAGTCTGTAGTCCCCACATGTCTCAAACACCATCGTTCCTGTCCCCAAAAAGACAAAAATCAACGTCAGCAAAACCAAGGAGCTGATTGTGGATTACAGGAAGCAGCAGAGAGAGGGACACGCCCCCATCGCCATCAATGGGACTACGGTGGAGAGAGTCAGCAGCTTCAGGTTCCTCTGTGTCCACATCACTGAGGACCTGACATGGACTCTTCACACCACCACCAGCACCAAAACAGCTTGACAGCGGCTCTTCTTCCTCCGCAGGCTGAGGAGGTTCAACATGGACTCCAGGATACTCTGCAACTTCTACAGGTGCACCATAGAGAGCATATTGACCGTCTACAGGTGCACCATAGAGAGGATCCTGACTGGCTGCATCACGGCTTGTTACGGCAGCTGCACCGCCTTCAATCGTAAGGCTAATCCGGACTAAAACCACCAGACTCAGGGATAATTTCATCCCACAGGCAATAAGACTGTTAAACACCTGAAGCAAAATCTGTTAAACACCTGAACTGTTGAAACAATATCCAAAATAGTCATCTGGCTGCTACTTTAAAATTATTTAACTACTTAGAAATTATTTATCTATTTACCTAATATATCATATTCCAATAACTTGCATGTAGACTATTATTGCACTATTTCACTTTTTTCAACAATTTTTCTTTTTGTATTTACTATATTTTTCTATTTATCTGTGTTTTGTGTTGCACTGTTGGAGAAGCCTGTGACCTAAGAATGTCATTGGCATAACTACACTGTAGCTATGTGTATATGATTAAATAAAGAACCTTGAACTGCTATAATACAACACAACAGGAAAACGTCTGCCTGCTCTCCACAATGATCAATAACAGAGAACGGATGGTCAAAGTAAGGTAAAAATAAACAGAATCACACTAAGCCTGGTTAGTGTGGCCTGACTTTTAAAGTGTGTGTTTTTTTACAAGTGTGTGGTCACGTTCTAGTCACTTTTCTCAGCGCTACTGCTTGTTACAACTTTTATTTGCCGTACTCGCCACTAATTGTTATTGCTCAGGTTAATCTTGCCCCTTCCGACGTAAGCGTGAAGTATTGGTTCTTTGTTCTTGCCGGGCAGCCGAGTGGGGCCAGCTAAGAACAGTTTTTTGGTGCTTAGAGGCGGCTCTGCTGCGGTGGAAACAGGAAGGACCAGAGCTTAATAAGGCTTTAGCCCGGAACCGGCTCTAGAACCGGTTTGGTTGAAAAGGGGCATTAGAGAAGTGCTGATTCTGGGTCAGTAGCTGCTGGCCCCACGCCCTTTGGAGCACAGCAAGGCAGCAGTGAGGTCTCCTCTCTGCCTGCAGAAACTCAGCTAAATGCTGCCGTGATTAAACACCATATCGTGTTCCAAACCACATCAAGGATTATTTCTGAAACAGTATGGAGCTCAAATGCTTTTTCTCTCGTGGGCTTACCACAAGGACAGTACCTTTTATATTCTGCTTCTTTACACATACTCTCTCCAGTACAGGTTAGCTCTGAGTGTTAGCGATGCTTGCTAATGTAAACACAGACCATATTACTTCCAAAACACGTCGTGCATTGTTTCTGATACAGCAACGTTTCTGATAGGACCGTGGGTGTAAAGCCAGCCCACATTTACGATATTATGTCATATCGGATGTACATCTGGATCACCTCCGTCCCCATTTTTAGAGATTTGGGTATGGAGGAAAAGAGAGAGGGTTTTGTTTTCTGACCCTTTTTGAGTTCCCTGACACACATTTATGTATAAAAGACATACAAAAGTGCATTTTGCATGATAGGAGACCTTTAAAAGAAACCAAGATTTAAAACAAAAATGCAAAGTATGTAATACACTTATCCTTACAAATTACAAAGTGCATTGGTTCCTGTGTTTAGTTGCCATTAAAATAATGAGTGAATCTCCCGTATTCAAATTAGTCATCAAGTATATGAACTCCATTTTAACCAGCTGCCACATTAAAAGACATAAAACGTAATTCAAACAACCTGAAACCTGATTTCAGCTGTCCACTGTCTCTCCACTGCTCCACACTTCATATAAAGACACTAGTCTTTGCCTTGTGTAGTTAAGATATTGGCAAAATAAAGTAAACAGAAACCATGGTAATACATCAGACAACATTTCAATGTATATTACATAGCCACATCTGAAAAGTATGACCACCATGTTGACATTACCTAAGAGTTCTGGTAGGAATACAAAAACACATAAATACAGATAAGCAGTCTGACTTACCAGAAAGAGAACCACACTAACTCCTATATAGGCGAAGACAATGCACATCCAGATTTCATAGGCGAGTGGGTCCAGAAAGGAGAAGACTCCTGGTTTGGATTTCTGCGGCTTCTTGATCATGATGGAGATTCCCAAAGACATGAATGGTTTGGAGAAATCTATCACTTCTTCACGAACAAGAGTGATGGTCAGAGGAGCAATTGCGATATCTGCTTTCTGTTAGAAACAAAAAGACAGAGTGACAGTATTTGACAGTTGGCTTTATTTATGTTTCCCCACCAGTGGAACTAAGGACCTAATGCTGTAATACTGCCCAGCATGCTCCGTGCCAATATCTGGTCCAAGAAAAAAGAAAGACTGATGCTGTGTCTCAAATTATATAGAGTATGCTGTTTTTAGTGCATGAGTGTGTCCCAATGGGAAGTATGGCAAAAAGCACAATAAGTAGCGGACGGTGATCTCATAACAGTCAGGTCTTTCAAATGACAATGGAGACATCTGGAGCTTCACCAAACACAACATTCTCCACTTCTGGTTCCAACATGAAAACAAACATTTAATTGCTTACCCCATACACCAGCTCTCCAACCATACCATTCCAGATCTTGGTTTCTGCATCTCTCGCTCCGTATTTGCCATCCCCCACAATCCTGAGCTGGTAGCGTATACCACAATGCTTTGCAATCTCTGCAGCCAAATCTACGCAATAACCTAGCATCAGTCCAAAAAAAGCCACACATGCACAAAGAGACACATCAGAAGTGTTAGACAAGCACCCGAGAATATATACAAGCCCTTTGGCATAAACTCAACTCAAATATCGAGTAAACAAAGTCAATGAAATTCATTTAGAATGTAATTACAGAATGAACAGACACCCACACACAATACAATTGATAAGTTATACCTTCATAACGGTCATTGTCTTGAAACTGCTCGGAATTCTTCTTCATCATGACGTAGGGGGCTTCCTACACACACACACACACACACACACACACACACACACACACACACACACACACACACACACACACACACACACACACACACACACACACACACACACACACACACACACACACACACACACACACACACACACACACACACACACACACACACACACACACACACACACACACACACACACACACACACACACACACACACACACAATCATATAGGAAACAGTATGTTATTTTTTCAGGAAGTGAGAAATGATTGGCAACATTGGCAGCTTTGTGGCGGTTTCAATATTGAGTGTTTCTGCAGTTTCCCTGCACATTCACATTGAGTGTAATTCATTAGTTTATTACCAGGATCGTCGAGACAATGACTGTCTTGTTTTCCATTCCCATGGTATCATTGGGGTAAAGGTCTGACTTTGTCACCACCATTTTATCCACCTCATTCCAATAGCCAATCTAAGAACACACATAAACACACACACATATGGTTATATACCACACAGTTACAGCTTTGAAAGTATTCATATTGCAAATTGATTGTTCAGTTACCTTAACAGGGCCATTGTTCTTCAGCTCCATCACTGTCACTGAGTAGTTGATCCTCTTCCCGTACTGGTCAAACTGAATGTTCCCTGTTAATCCGTCTACACGCACCTACACATACAAGTACACAACATACAAGAGGTTCAATGTAATTGATGAATAGAAACACACACACACATTTAAGTTTGCACACAAACATATTTATGATACTGAAAGTAATAATACCAGCAGCATACTTAATACGTAACAGGTGATGTTCTAATTATTAAGTTAAGAAAATTGGGTAAAGAAACGTCCCTGCATCTCAATTAATCAAACAAATATATATAAAAAAACATTTTACATATGAAAAGCTCATTTTTGGTTAAGATTGCTATGAGACATAATGTGTTAGGGCTGTACAAGGGCGTGGAACCAAATGCACGATGCAGAGACAAACAAAGTATCAAAATAAAGTGTTTTCATGTAGACAGGTCATAACACACTGAATACATCAAGCAACAAAACAAAAACTACTAATACACTAATCTAACTCTATGGACAATGACAAAAGGATCTTACGCTGGAAGGCTTGGAACACACAAGACAATCTGGCAACGAGACAGGGGAAGACGAGAACTATACTAGACAGACAACACCAGGTGAAGACAATTAGACAATCACAACCGTGGGAAAACAGACAAGGCAGGAAACGTACTTTAGACACATGAGGGTAGACAAGACTATCAAAAATAAAACAGGAACCTATCTAAACACATAACATGAAACCTAAACTAGGGAACAATCCTAGCAGAGCCGTCTACGCACAACAGAATGTTGTACTGTGGGAAGTTATCACTGCTGCAATCATTTCATCTTTTGTCGTAGTATGTTCACATCAACCACATGGATCCTCTAAATCAGGGGTTCTCAAAGTTTTGATGAGTGAGGGCCAATTTAGGTACCCAATATTGGATTGAGGGCCGCCCAAGAAAAAACGGAACACAAAATAATTCCAAAACAAATCCTTTCTTTATTGTACTAACCAATTACCGCAACTCGCGAGATGCCTAGTTGCCATGCAACCAGTAGTCTAGCAAACTTTCCACAAACTGTCATTCATAATTTAGGAATGACAACCCAGGGGGCGCAGTTTTACCATTCTTAACCCTCTGGAGTCTAAGGGTATTTTCTCGATTTTTAGATGTTTTCTTAAATCACCTTTTAAATGTATTTCTTCTAACATGGCACCCCATGTGTTAAATATCAAAATGTTCAGGACAATCTCTAGTCTTGCTATATATGCATATTGCTCACCTTAGAGCACTGTTTGATGAGTTAAGTAGCTCAAAAGCTTAAAATGTGAAATCTGATTTTTGGAAAATCTTCAAAACTCTTGTGAAAACACAAATTTACTCATGTGATCGAATTGTTTTGGTGTTTTAGATTTGGTTACCAAAGTCCTAGGATCACAAAAGCAGTGACATATTTGAATTACACTGTATATAAATGTGTTATTCATGTCTAAAATGAAAAACATTCAATTCAAATTTTGAGTAAAATAGGTGTTTATCACTCTACTTTCACCACAGCAGGGACTGAGATACATTAGGACTGAATAATGACTTCATATTACATACCAAGGTTCATGTGATGTGTACAAATACAAATTGAGCATTCAACCTTTTTTTTTCAACCAACAATTTATTATAAATATGTTTTCTTCAACCAACTATTTATAGAAATATAAGAAACTGGAAAATCTCACTATTTACAATATTGAACATCAGAACTTTCAACCAACTATTCATTATAAATGTCAAGACAGTGTCAAGGTCTTTGTCTGTCTTCCAAGACAGTGGGTCTGGCTGCTGTGTAGGTGGGGGTGATGGTGCATGGGCTGCTGTGTAGGTGGGGTGTACAAGTGCTATACGAGACCTCCACGAGACCTCCTTGCTGGCTGGGTTGAAGGTGATGGCTGTGGTGGAGCCTTTGTGCTGAGGTGTATCTTGACCTGGTGACAGCCGCAGATGGAGGTGGAGGCAGTTGTAGTGATGCTGGTCTGCTGGTTGAAGGTGGTGGAGCCCTTGAGCCACAGTAGATCTTGACCTGGGGGCCGGCACAGATGGATGTTGTGGCTGCTGGATAAACGCCGCCTGTGTAGGACAATAATTACAACTAATTTCATTGAAATAAAGTTCAAGTAAAATGTTGCTCAAGCACAAATAACAATGCACACATACAAATAAAGTTTGGGAGGTTGCAGAAGGAGTCTCTCTCGATCTCACACACACACACACACACACACACACACACACACACACACACACACACACACACACACACACACACACACACACACACACACACACACACACACACACACACACACACACACACACACACACACACACACACACACACACACACACACACACACACACACATTTCCAGTTACTTTACATTCAGTATAAAATCACAGACACACATATACATAGGCTACATCTGATTACAAAGTCTCATCTGTACAGAACAGTATGATAAAATAATCGATGGCAAAAACATGTCACTGTAAATGTCTCCGTTGGGGGACGAATAAATGATTAATTTAATCATCTACACATGTAATCTCACTTTTACACACCAAAATAACGTGAACACAGAGTAAACGTTTGCTAATGGAGAGTCTATTTTGTCCCAATAAAAAGTTCATGACTATCGATAAAAAATATATATCAATAAACCTATTGTTCATTTTCGCGGTATTCCCCACACATTGCCAGTACACTATTATTGTAATATTTACACTTACCCATGTCCAAATGGATCCTTGTTGTTGTCTTTGTATTCTTCTTCTTCAGAAGAGTCGAAGACTTCAGGTTCTGAGGCTCTATCTTCACTGCTGCTAGCGAAAAAAATCTCTAGCGAAGTCGGCGACTGTAAAGTTTTTTAAGCCATTTTCTGTCTCTCTCTTTCTCCTCACAGATGGGAGACACGTGGTTTATGTTTTGTTTACTTGGTGGGTAGGCCCTTAGTGATTTATCGATGTCCATTGGTCATTTCAGACCATGATGGCTGCCGGCCGAGATTTCCTTGACGGACACACGAATCCACCAATCCCACACAGTGTAAAGTCAAGCTGCTTTGAGCGGACATATTGGCTGCTGTACCCTGGTTACAGTCTCACAGGAGATACCGCTGGAAAGCTACTCATTCTAATTCTTACTAGATACAACCATGGAGGATTAAAATATAACGCATGCATTTCAGCGTGTCACATTAACTATCGCGGGCCGCCAGAAATATTTACGAGGGCCGCCATTGGCCCGCGGGCCGCACTTTGAGAACCCCTGCTCTAAATAATCTTCAGATATCAGGATATATCCTTTAAACACCACATTAAAAAAAGTTCAAGGAGCGCCTTCTTCAAAACTATGCAGTCCTTACATATGTTACTTAAAGGCTGAATGAATTTAACTTTTATCAGCTTTAATAGAAATGGGCCCGTCTCTCTCTCTTCTTAATGAGGTTACCTGTTTGAGGGCACGTTCAATCTCCACCCCTTGTGCCCAGGGAACTGCTGGGTTGGCCAAACAGTCCCCACTGTTGCCACGACGACTCATGTCTATTCTCTGCTTGTGAAGAAAGCGGAATGCCTCCGTCATCACATGGACAGCATCATAGGTGAGGGCTGAGGTGTACTGTAAGACAGAAAAAGTTATACGAATCAAAATCATCTCAATAACCTGCTGCCTATTTCAGAATCTGAAATACTTTAATGATTCCAGGGGGACATTGGTTTAGTGTCAGATATTCCATTTGAAAATAAATCAAATACAAAAAGAGAATTGAAAAAATATTGATGAAATCTTAAAATAAGATGCTGAAGGGGCTGAAGGAAGGCTAGCTCTGTATTTGGAGTTAAACTGGACAATCTGGAGGAGGTGGCAGAGTGGAGGATGAGGAGGAAGCTGGACTGTATCCCCCCCCCCCCCTCCTCCATGCAGAGCAGGATGAGGAGCACGTTCAGACTCACCCCTCCTCGGCCAGTAGCCATCAGGCTGCTTAGTCAAGGACAGACCCCCACTTAAGAACGTTGATGACAGCCTGCACATGATTTGCCCTTGATTGACCTACTTTGGACTTGCACTTGCCAATATATATTTTGATATTCATAATTATTCACATTTGTATACGTGTTAACAGTTTCACTGAATTCAAGTTTTGATATGTTACTATGTGCTGGTATTTACATTCTTTATTTTTTTTTTCTTAATTATCTTTGTGTCAACTCTCTCAATGCTACCCTATGTTTTAATCTAATTTCTGTTGTTGCTCCCTAGGCTGCTCAATAAAGGTTTATCTAATTGTATCTCAATTTATCTACAACCATGCAGATAGTGTGGGTTTTAAACATCTACTTTACTTCAGGCTGTTAATGAGTACTTACTATTTTTAAGCGTGTTACCACATTGGTTGTTTCATAACCTTTTTGAAATGTATTTTGGGAAAAGTGGCTGTGGAAAAATGTATTATTGGAAATATGATGTCCAATTTTACTGCAAACATTAAAAAGTGTTTCATGACAAAATATGTTCTCCTCAGTACCTGGAGAGTTAGGTCAGATTATTTAATTTAATTAAGCATGATTGTGCTAGTGTATGGAACAATTTAAATTAATTCTAACCAGCCTACTGTATGAACTAATGTTATATGTCCAAATCTTACTCTGATTCGTGAATCAGCTCCTGGATACTCCTTCTCTTCCAGGGCCTCCCATCGCTGGTCAAACTTTGCCACCACAGGATCATCAAAGTCTACTATCTGAAACCCAGACACATTCGCACCTCCATACTGGATTTTAGATAGGTCGCCATCTACAAAACCCTGAAAGATGATAAACACAACATTTCAGTTAATGACTTTGTAGTTGCGTTCTATTCATAGAACCACACATGTGTGCCCTACTGGAGGCAGATCTGCTACTTCAACTACAACTTTCATTCACAAGGAAAAAAAAGCAGTTAAAAACCAGGCTTCTTTTATATCCTGCACTACTGAATGTGGCTATGCCTTGCAGAGGTGGGAAGTAACTAAGTAATCGAGTACTGTACTAAAGTACAATGTTGTAATCCACTGCAGTTCAGAGGTAAATGGTGTACTTTTACTCCACTACATGTATTTAATACATTTAGTTATTTTACAGATGTGGATGAATGATGTGAAATCTAATCAAGTGTTAAATCAGACTTTAGTTCCATTTGGAGTAAATCCACCAGCTACCCTGCAGTATACAAAGTCATTCAAACTAGCTGCACCTTTACCAGCTTTGAGAACACTTTCATGATCAATCATTATAAAACATTAGTGGTGCACGATAATTATCGGCCCAATAATTATCGGTCCGATATTAGGAATTATGACGTCATCCCGATAAACCCGATTAAAAAGTATGAATTGCCCCGATAATATACAATATATTTTTTGGGTAAAAAAAAGAAAACATACTGCGGTCTGGGTGGATTGGGATGAGGGGCGCTTGTTTTTCACTCGGCTCCTCCCGTTTTGCCAGTACTGTACTGTGGTATTAGTGGTTTAGGAAGAGGGGAGTTTTTCGCAAATCCAGCGCTCCCTAAAGGCCCTGTCACACTGTCCCGAAATTGACACCCGATGGACACACGATAAAGGAAATGTTCAAATTCGGCTGTGATCGTAGCAACATCGGGCCATTCGTGAGGGCATCTTAAGCCATCGTATGACCGCCGGTGGAGTTTCTCAGGCTCCGGCAGCAACTTAGTGAGCGGCAACTTCGTAAGGCACTCGTGAGGACATCTTGTCAAATCGTGTCATCTTCGTGTTATTACATTACATTACATTTAGCTGACGCTTTTATCCAAAGCGACTTACAATAAGTACATTCGACCAGGAAGACACAACCTTGAAGAAAACAGAATCAAATAAGTACATCAGGTTTCATAGAGCCAAACATTTCAAGTGCTACTCAACTGGCTTTAGGTAAGCCAGTCCTTTATTAGTATAAAAGTGCTTCGTTAATAGTTCTAACGCTCGAAGTGGAGTCGAAAGAGATGAGTTTTCAGTTTGCGCCAGAAGATGTGGAAGCTATCTGCCGTCCTGATGTCAATGGGGAGCTCATTCCACCATCTTGGAGCCAGGACAGCAAACCCACGTGTTTTCGCCGATGGGAACTTGGGTCCCCCTCGCAGCGAGGGCGCAACGAGTCGTTTGGCTGATGCAGAGCATAGTGCACGCGCTGGGGTGTACGGTTTAACCATGTCCTGGATGTAGGAAGGGCCAGATCCATTCGCAGCATGGTAAGCAAGTACCAGTGTCTTGAAGTGGATTCTAGCAGTTACCGGAAGCCAGTGAAGGGAGCGGAGGAGCGGAGTGGTGTGGGAGAATTTAGGAAGGTTGAAGACCAGACGAGCCGCTGCATTCTGGATGAGCTGCAGAGGTCGGATGGCACATGCAGGTAGACCAGCCAGGAGGGAGTTGCAGTAGTCTAGGCGTGAGATGAGAGAGTCTGGACCAGAACCTGAGTCGCTTTCTGAGTCAGCTGGGGACGTATCTTCCTGATGTTGTAAAGCGTGTATCTGCAGCAACGGGTTGTAGCAGCGATGTTTGCAGTGAAGGACAGGTTGTTATCTAGGGTCACACCCAGATTCCTTGCAGTCTGAGTCGGGGAAACAACTGAGGTGCCGATGTTGATTGTTAGGTCAAGAGTGGGACAATCTTTTCCCGGGAGGAAGAGCAGCTCAGTCTTGTCAAGGTTGAGCTTGAGGTGGTGAGCAGACATCCACTGAGAGATGTCAGCTAGACAAGCAGAGATGCGTGCAACGTCCTGGGTCTCTGAGCGGGGAAAGGACAGAATTAATTGGGTGTCATCAGCGTAGCAGTGGTAAGAAAAACCATGCGGGCTAATGACTGATCCGAGCGAGTTTGGGTACAGGGAGAAGAGGAGGGGACCAAGAACAGAGCCCTGAGGGACCCCCGTAGTTAATTGACAAGGGTCGGACTCAGACCCTCTCCAAGTCACCGTGTAGGTACGGTCTTTCAGGTATGAGGTGAGGAGGGAAAGTGCAGAGCCTGAAACTCCAAGTTTTTGGAGAGTTCGAAGGAGGATCTGATGATTCACCGTGTCAAATGCAGCAGACAGGTCCAACAGGATGATGACAGAGGAGAGGGATGCAGTTTTGGCAGTGTGCAGTTCCTCCGTGACAGCAATGAGAGCAGTTTCTGTGGAGTGACCTGCCTTGAAACCAGACTGCTGCGGATCCAGAAGGTTGTTCTGATTGAGATAACAGGAGAGTTGTTTAAAGACAGCGCGTTCAAGTGATTTAGACAGGAACGGGAGGAGAGAGACAGGCCTGTAGTTTATAACATCAGACGGGTTGAGAGTGGGTTTCTTTAGGAGAGGGTTTACTCTTGCCTCCTTGAGACTGTTTGGAAAGTGACCAGAAGTTAGAGAAGTGTTGATGAAATGGGTGAGAAACGGTAGAATATCAGGAGCGATAGTCTGAAGGAGGTTTGAAGGGATAGGGTCCAGAGGACAGGTAGTAGGGCGGGCAGAGGTAATGAGGGTAAGAACCTCACTTGGAGAGAGAGGGGAAAAGGAGGTAAGTGTGTTGGTGAAAGAAGGGTCTGGTGACCCAGCGGTGAGTAAAGGTGAGTCAGAAAAAGAAGAGCGAATATCATCAACCTTTTTTTCAAAGTGGTTAACAAAGTCGCTTGACAGAAGTGCGGAGGGGGGAGGAGCTTTTGGAGGGTCCAAGAGGGTGGAGAAGATGGAAAATAGTTTTTTAGGATTGGAATAGGAAGATTGGATCTTATCTTGAAAGAAAGTGCTTTTTGCCTGAGAGATCGAAGCAGAGAAAGAGGAGAGGAGAGCTTGATAGGTTAGGAGGTCGTCACGGTGTTTGGATTTCCACCATTTCCGCTCTGCTGCCCTAAGGATGGTTCTATTAGCACGCAGTGCATCATTTAGCCAGGGAGCAGGAGGGGACTGACGAGCCTGCCGAGATGTGAGAGGACAGAGCGAGTCCAGAGTGGATGAGAGAGTAGAGAGGAGAGTTTCTGCAGCAGAGTTTGGAGGCAGGAGTTGGAACGAATCAGAGGAAGGGAGGGCTGAGAGCACCGACGAGGCAAAGGTAGAGGGGGAGAGGGAGCGAAGGTTACGGCGGACAAGTGCAGGATGGGAAGAGATTAGTTTGTTATGTTTGGAAAGGGATAGAGAGAATGAAATGAAGAAGTGATTGGATGTGTGGAGCGGGTTTACAGAGTGGTTAGAAGTAGCGCAGTTCCTTGAGAATATGAGATCAAGGATATTGCCAGCTTTATGAGTTGGTGGGGACGGAGACAGTGAGAAAGCAAAGGCGGTTAACAGAGATGTTAGTTCGTCTATCTTCCCTGTCTGGAGGTTGAAGTCTCCGAGAAGTACAGCGGGAGGGCCAGTTTCAGGGATGAGTGAGAGGAGATTATCTAATTCCTCCAAGAAGTCCCCCAAGGCGCCTGGTGGACGGTAGAGAACAACAATGGTTAACTGTATAGGATGGGTTACTGTGACGGCATGGAATTCAAAGGTGGAAGGAGTGAAGTTAGGTAGCTTGAAGAGGGAAAAGCTCCATTTGGGAGAGAGCAGGAGACCAGTGCCACCTCCTCTGCCAGTGGGTCTGGGTGTATGGGAGAAGGAATATGCAGTGGAGAGAGCTGCTGGGGTGGATGTGTTGGATAGAGTAATCCAGGTCTCAGTGAGAGCAAGGAAATCCAGAGACTGCAGGGAGGCGTAGCCAGAGATGAAGTCAGCCTTAGGAACAGCTGACTGGCAATTCCACAGGCCACCAGAAACTAGATGTTGGATCTCAGTGGAGCACGTGGGATAGACGAGAGCAGGCCGGTTATATCGATTAGGAGATACACGGGGCCAGTGATAATTGCGAGAAGACACATGAACAGGAATGGAGAAAATACACATGATTATAGCATGAGGGGCTAGAAAACTAAAGAAAAGATAAATAAGACACCAGCTCAATCAGAGTAGGATTTGCCTCCTCTTTGCCTCCCTCGTGACTCCCGCAGGACTCCAATGTCTTTGTCAGTCTTACTCCCGCAGGACTCCAATGTCTTTGTCAGTCTTCGGCTGTCTGATGCTGAAGCTGACGCTCCAGGAAAGAGCTACCCAAAATGGACGTCTGATTGCTCAGTTCTCACAGCTGTAGGGCCACAGCCCTCTAATTAGTTAACTATCTACAGCTGATGGGCGACAATAGACTGGCCCTGCCTATATTAATGCAGGCTTGAGTGCTGAGACCTGTAAAGCAGGTTTCGCCTGAGCAGATCTGAGATTTAAAATCTCTCAAACGCGATTTAGCCGTTTAAGCTACAATAACAATTTATACAGAGTCGAATAAATGAAACAGAGAAGTCTAATTAAACAAGAATATAACTTACAGTGGTTGCTGCGTCAATAGGTAATGTCGTCACCGGGTCCAGATGCACACTGAGTTCATCAGATTTTAAATGCGGTATTTAAATGCTTTTTAAGGTAAAAAATGACTGAGTCACGCGGTTGTACTTCACGCTATCAATAGACTGGCCCTGCCTATATTAATGCAGGCTTGAGTGCTGAGACCTGTAAAGCAGGTTTCGCCTGAGCAGATCTGAGATTTAAAATCTCTCAAACGCGATTTAGCCGTTTAAGCTACAATAACAATTTATACAGAGTCGAATAAATGAAACAGAGAAGTCTAATTAAACAAGAATATAACTTACAGTGGTTGCTGCGTCAATAGGTAATGTCGTCACCGGGTCCAGATGCACACTGTTATCATCGGTGCCATCGGGCATTCGCCTTCACTCTGATCGGGGCGAATGCCCGATGGCACCGATGATAACACGATGCCCTCACGATGGCCTTACGAAGGGCACAATTGACACACAAATTCAACACGAAAATGAACCTTCACAAGATCCTTCGGCAATTTTTTGGCATGCCAAATATTTTGCCACCGCTCACGAAGTTGCTGCCGGAGCCTGAGAAACTCCACCGGCGGTCATACGATGGCTTAAGATGCCCTCACGAATGGCCCGATGTTGCTACGATCACAGCCGAATTTGAACATTTCCTTTATCGTGTGTCCATCGGGTTGTTTTATTGCACAACAAAATCATGTAAATATATTATGTAAATAACTCAATTTGTGTTCTGTGAAACTAAAAAGGATATCATATATTATTTTGAAGGACAGTTGACAGGAAGTTGTTGTTGTTATGGAAACAACATTACGGAGAAAACGTAATATTTTCTACATATAACGACGGATAAAGTAAAGAACAAAGTCTGAAGATATCAGTACAGTATCATAGTACTGTAACACAATTGTTTTTGGTACTTTCATTGCAGTTGTATGTCTTAAATGTAATGTAAATGTTGCCTTCGTGTGTGGTTTGGGGCCATCATCGTGCGAAATTCACAATTCCATATTCGTGTGTCCATCGGGTATCAATTTCGGGACAGTGTGACAGGGGCTTAACTCATGCCTGGCTGTGACGTAAATGGTGTGCGGCCGTGAAGCCAGGACAGTAAACAAACATGTCGTCGGAAGTATGGGACTATTTCAAAGTTTCAGAGTTCGCTTGCTATTTGTATTAACAAATGCAATGCAGAAGTTCCACGAGGAGGGAAAAAGGCAACGAGCTATAATACTTCCAACCTGATTAGTCACCTGAAACATCGCCATCGCTACGATGGTGTGTTAAAAGCGTAGGAAGACGCCTGCGCTGCTAAACTAGCGGCAAATCCAAAGCCAGCTGCATAGGCACCGGGGCTTTTACCTATCGACGAGGCTTTTGAAAAAGGCAAGAAGTTTGCCAGAGACGACCCCAGGGTTAGTTTTGTTCATAGTAGTAATGCTCATGTCATTTGCTCACTACTAGTCTTTTTTTGTACCACCAGGTGTGCAAAAACTACAGGTACATTTAATATATATTATATTATTATCGGTTATCGGTATCGGTATCGGTCTTGAGAAGCAGGAAGTTATCGGTATCGGTTTCAAAAAACCGATATCGTGCATCCCTATACTGTAAAACATATCATATATATTATTCTGAAATGGACCAATCTGCACAATGACTACAGTACTTTCACTTTTGGTACTTTAAGTATATTTTGATGAGAATACTTTTCTACTTTAACTTGAGTAACATTTTGAATGCAGGACTTTTAATTGTAGTATTCCTACACTCTGGTACTTCTACTTTTACTCAAGTATAAGATCTGAGTACTTCTCCCACCCTTTGATTTTGTGCAATGCTAACATCAGCTAAGACCAGTCCATTTCAGCTGAGTGTAAAAGTGATTGGATATAGAAACAAATAAATGGGTACAATTCAAAGTAGGTAAAAGACACAGAGAGTTGACAACAGAGAAATCAGCTGAAGAAGACAGACAGGAATTTAAAATACTGGAACACGGTGTGGGCTCTAGTAGTGTTTAACGACTTGTAATAGAAAATAAAATGTGAACACACTCGGACAATCACCGAAAACCTCGATCAGTGCTGCTGTCGTTTTAAGCTACAGTTGCTGTCACTTTAATTCCAGCTGTTGCTATGCAGTAGAAAAACATTTTTTTTATAGCAGAAGCAAAACTTAATTTTTTTAATGAATAACGTTATTTTTTGTCAAATTGTTGATTTTCTTCAGTGAGCAGTAATAAGCGGGATAATGTGCAGCGAGCCAATCATTGATGAGAAAATAACCCGACTGTAAATGTATGTCCCTCTGATTACCTGGCCTCCTGTCCCAACCACTACGCACAGTATGTCATGCATCAGCAATACATAGCAGTTTTTGCTTAAATCAGACATAAACGGGGGCTCACCAGGTTAGCGATGATATAGTGGTACCCCTTCACATGCCTGCCTATAGTGATCACCTGATGGGAAAAGAGTACAAGCTGTGTCAATACATCATTGTGTGTGTTACCATTTGTCACCTATCGTCTCGTGAAAACAATGAATCTCCAAAAGGTCTTTTCATGAGTTAGGAAAAAAGTCCAGTTCAGTTGATCTTGTATTTACATAGGGCATAAAGGGTAGGGGGCTACAGTGGCTTATACATCACTTCTTTGATCAGTCACTCTCACACCAACCAGACTACAAACCCTCTAACTGAAAAAGTTCTGTGTGTAATACAGATGTGTGAATCAGCTTTGCTGTATTTAAGAAAGTTAACGCAATTCTGACAAAGTGAGGCCTATAGCTCTGCCATGATGTCCTAAGCATATCACCAGTGTCAGAGTCAACGTGAAGAGCCAGCGAGTGTTGGGCAGTTCACCACATGTGTTGAGAAGCATGCAATTTCATTTACACTGTCCCCTCACGTTCATAAACATTTGACATTTAGTCATTAATTAATTAATAATCAATTAATTGTAAGAACATATCAAGGATTTTAAGTGAATAATTTGTATGTTGTTTGTTGTTAACAAAAAGGACTTAATAGAAATAAAGGTTTAGCAGATGCATTGCTCTCAGGGCTTGCCAAGTTAAACCTGATCTGAAAAACAAAACCAACCAAAAATACAGGAAACTAAAATATATTTTAAGTCCACTTTTAAGTGTCATATAATGCAATCTGAATATGTGCCAGCTGACCTAAGGAGAGATACTAAAGAAAGTCATATACACTGAACAAAAATGCAACACTTTTGTTTTTGCTCCCATTTTTCATGAGATGAACTCAAAGATCTAAAACATTTTCTATATACACAAAATAACCATTTATCTCAAATATTGTTCACAAATCCGAAAAAAATCTGTGATAGTGAGCACTTCTCCTTTGCCGAGATAATCCATCCCACCTCAGAGGTGTGGCATATCAAGATGCTGATTAGACAGCATGATTATTGCACAGGTGTGCCTTAGGCTGGCCACAATAAAAGGCCACTCTAAAATGTTCAGTTTTATCACACAGCACAATGCCACAGATGTCGCAAGTTTTGAAGGAGCGTGCAATTTGCATGCTGACAGCAGGAATGTCCACCAGAGCTGTTGCCCGTGAATTGAATGTTCATTTCTCTACCATAAGCCGTCTCCAAAGGCGTTTCAGAGAATTTGGCAGTACATCCAACCGGCCTCACAACCGCAGACCATGTGTAACCACACCAGCCCAGGACCTCCACATCCAGCATGTTCACCTCCAAGATCGTCTGAGACCAGCCACTCGGACAGCTACTGCAACAATCGGTTTGCATAACCAAAGAATTTATGCACAAACTGTCAGAAACCGTCTCAGGGAAGCTCATCTGCATGCTCGTCATCCTCATCGGAGTCTCGACCTGACTCCGGTTCGTTGTCGTAACCAACTTGAGTGGGCAAATGCTCACATTCGATGGCATCTGGCACGTTGGAGAGGTGTTCTCTTCACGGATGAATCCCGGTTTTCACTGTTCAGGGCAGATGGCAGATAGCGTGTGTGGCGTCGTGTGGGTGAGCGGTTTTCTGATGTCAATGTTGTGAATCGAGTGGCCCATGGTGGTGGTGGGGTTATGGTATGGGCAGGCGTATGTTATGGACGACGAACACAGGTGCATTTTATTGATGGCATTGTGAATGCACAGAGATACCGTGACGAGATCCTGAGGCCGATTGTTGTGCCATTGATCCACGACCATCACCTCATGTTGCAGCATGATAATGCACGGCCCCATGTTGCAAGGATCTGTACACAATTCCTGGAGGCTGAAAACATCCCAGTTCTTGCATGGCCAGCATACTCACCGGACATGTCACCCATTGAGCATGTTTGGGATGCTCTGGATCGGCGTATACAACAGCGTGTTCCAGTTCCTGCCAATATCCAGCAACTTGGCACAGTCATTGAAGAGGAGTGGACCAACATTCCACAGGCCACAATCAACAACCTGATCAACTCTATGCCAAGGAGATGTGTTGCACTGCGTGAGGCAAATGGTGGTCACACCAGATACTGACTTGTTTTCGGACCCCCCCAATAAAGCAAAACTGCACGTTTCAGAGTGGCCTTTTATTGTGGCCAGCCTAAGGCACACCTGTGCAATAATCATGCTGTCTAATCAGCATCTTGATATGCCACACCTGTGAGGTGGGATGGATTATCTCGGCAAAGGAGAAGTGCTTACTATCACAGATTTGTTCAGATTTGTGAACAATATTTGAGATAAATGGTTATTTTGTGTATATAGCAAATGTTTTAGATCTTTGAGTTCATCTCACGAAAAATGGGAGCAAAAACAAAAGTGTTGCATTTATATTTTTGTTCAGTGTAGTTGACAGAGATGTAAGACTGCAAAGGATAAATCATAATTCTGAAAGGTTAGACACTTTCTTGCTGGAAATGGATTGGGTGGATATTATTAATAATATAAGTAGAAATAATATAATTGTTCTAGTGAAAAGACTGCAACCAACCTGTTCCATGATGTCTTTGACTTTGTCTTGTTCACAGTCCAGGATTATGCGTCGTTCCTTACGGATCTCTAGGTCCTAAAAACATCAATGTCATTAGTTGTGTGCACCAATGTAGACCTGAAACCTGTAGAAATGTTTAATTCAGAAGCAGTTTAATTAAGATCCCTGATGTACAACATGCTGCAAGTGTTTTGCGATGTTGTCAAGTCGAGTCCAAAGTAATCAAATTTGTGACTCGAGTCTGACTCGAGTCTAAGGTCGCATTCACACCTAAAAGTCTGCTTCTCTGGTTCGCACCAGACGACAGTTTGTTACATTGTTTCATTTCTCAGAAGGTTCGGTTTGCGTTCACACGGGCAAAATTCAAACAGACTATCAACTTTAAACACAAGTCATGTGCACGGAAATGCTGTTCAACAATTGGTCAGACATTAATGCGGTAAAAACGCAAATCCCGGCTATTTCTACTGTGCCTCCACCATGGGGCATCGACAGGTTATTTTCATGCTGCTGTTAATCTGGAGAGTTGAGAGCATATCAACTGACTCTAGTGGACGGCTCATATGATATAATCATGGCTGCACATAACCGCCAAAAAAGAGCACCGGATCATTTGAAAAAAGGCGCATTTGCGTTCCAACATTGAGAGGGAGAGAGAGAAAAGAGAAAAGAGAGAGATGAGAGAAGAGAGAGAAGAGAGAAGAGAGAGATAGAAAAGAGAGGGAGAGAGATATTTGCGAGTTGCATAAGAACTGGTAAGATAGCAGGGTTTCCCACACATAGGTATATTAAAGGGAAATGGAAACACTTTTCAAACTGCTTTCCATGCGACAATATTCCCATTAGGAAATGTATTTATCTAGTCTATTTCCAATGTAAACGATCGAGATAAGCGAATTTATTTTTTGAAATACGCGCCTAATGACCTTGGGCGCTTCCATCGATCCGGGACTTTCCCAGTGACGTCACTGTGTGGGTACGGCTTCCTGGGCCAAAGCTCAATACAGCTGCAAACAACATGGCGTGCAATGCACCAGTGGTTTCCAACAAAAGAAAACGGTCGTCGTCAGGAGCGTATTGTACCCTCCCCGGCCAGACCGAAGGATGTACCCGGTTGGTCGCTCACCAAGATTTGCGGAGGGATTGGGACCCCGACTCTGAGCGTCAAGCCGGGAGGCATTCACCTGGGCAGCCGCATTTCCCGGCGCAGCCCCGTGGGAAGTCTCGCTGGAAAGTAAGGTAAAGCAGATAAGAGCAAACCGGCGGGCAAATCATCCTCAGCCTCGTCTAAAACGGCCAACGCAGTGAAAAGCACCGGGGGTCGGCGTAAGGTTTCGGACGCCAGCACAGGCTCCGACGATTTATCTAAGGACTCCGGCTGTGCCACCGGGAAGCTCTCCCCGACCGACAGTAGCTCCGAGCTCTCGGACTGCGCCTCCGAGGAAAACAAGCTCTCAGCGGACGCTGTGAGTAGCGACGCCGAGTCGAGAAGCAGCCGAGGCGGGGGGCTAGACGGAGACAAGCCGCTCAGGGATGGCGTGTTGGCAGAAAGAGCTAGCCAACATGCCACCGCCAGGACCACCTGCTTCTCCTCGGAGAGGGACTACAAGGACCGGGTCTCCCTGGCCGTGGAGACAGGGGAAGGGAGCATTTTCCCAGGCGAGGAGCGCTCGGTCACCTCGTTTGACAGCAGGGTGCCCCCCAGCGCATCCCTGGCTTTCTCAGACCTCACAGAGGAGTTTATGGACGGCATGCATGAGGAGTTTGTACGGGAAATAGAAGAACTGAGATCTGAGAATGATTACCTCAAGGTAAGTCCAATATATTCGACTAAGTGTCAACTATGATTGTGACTAAATGTCCCATGGGTTTTTCAAATGACAAACATAAACAAAAGGCCTAACCGGCCTATTTTAGAATTTGGTTCTTTCATTGTAATGTTGCTTTTTGGCCTATATGCTAAAACTATTTATCATGAGCATGGTGTAATATAAAGTCAGTTGAGTTCAGTTTGTTCATTATGATTTGCTTGCAGCCTCCACATCAATGTCATCTCCCGAAGAATAGTCAAATTCATCGTTCAAAACGTCGATCTCATGGCAAAATTCCTCCATCGCTGCAATATCTGCCACGTTGTGTTGACTTCCGGTATGGATACCCGGAGCGAGGACCCACACAGTGACGTCACCATTTGGGACTCCCCTAATGGCAGCGGAATTCCCCACACGGCCGGCGGATAATTAATTTTCTTTTGGCGAGTAATATCATATACAATAAATATTACGATCAATATCCATTGTAAAATGAATAAACTACCGGAATATTATAGCTGTAATGGTGTTTCCTTTCCCCTTTAACGGTCGCCAAAGTATAATTCGCGAGCTACAGATGTAGCGCTTCATTTCAGACAATTTGAAACGCGAGGGCCGTGATTGGTACGTGATCTGCCCTCGCTCAAGGGAAAACCTCCAGCTTGACTTGAGACCTCCCCCGTGATAAATAAATGTAATCATTATGAAGCCAGCTGCAATGGATCATTGATCCACCAGGGGGTGCAGTGGGGTTCCACACTGGAGCTCATGTGAAATAAAGTCAGATACAGTACGCTGGATGTACAGCGGAACTTTGTTCAGATCCATATGTCACGGATATCATACTCTGTGCTAAATAAGAGACATGTAATCGTTTACAAAACATCACCATGTTGTTATTTAACAAAATAATGTTGTTTAGTCGAAAAAAACGAACGGGAGGAAATGCAGCCCGGCTCTCGATTTTTAATCCTAATTTAATCATCATCTTCACCACGATCATTTATGTTTATGTTCGCCGAATTGACATGAAATCACTGACACATATGAATATACTGTATTCAATTTCATTAAAACGTTATTAACGTGCCTAAACTCAGTAATTCACAAAAAATATTTATATTGTAATGGAGCCTCGTCGGCAGATCAGGATCCCAACGCGTAGCGGAGGGATCTTGATCAGCTGAAGGGTGTTATTTTCCCCATAAGGAACAAGTCGCTGCAAATTATTCCGCTTATTACATGGCCACATTCTCAACAAAGTAACGACATGACTCCCAATATTAATTGAAATGCTTTTATGGATTTAGAAAATGCTTTTATTCATTTAAAAAATAGTTGTATTGATTTAAATTGACATGAAAAATAGTCCGTTGTTACCGTTTTTTAAACAGTCTGAATGAAACGGCAGCTCTCAGCTGTGTATTTACACAACTTATGGCCCATCAACCACAGCTCTCTCCCCCCCTCCCCCCCTGATCTTTCTTCTCCAGCAGCTAAATGAACTGTACAGTAGGTTACTCTGAGTGACAAGCTGACACAACACTGTCATTGCAAGTGACCCTCAGTTAGTTGACTTTTATGTTCAACTGCTAAATTCGTTACTGATAAAAAAGGGCTTCTACTGTACCTAATTACCTTAACACTAGAACCGCCAGAGGTTTTTGTATAGGCCTACCTAACACCGTCAAATCCCGCTATTAGAATGCAATTTTTAACAACATAGGGTGCTACATAACACACTTTCAGGAAAAGTCACGGACTGGGAGACTTTAATATTTTATTGAAAAAAAGTTACATTGCACACACACAACACACATCACACAAATTGACCCGATTGGCGGTTCTAGTGTTAAATAAACTCACTAATTAATTAAACCAGTTCAATACGCATTATTCTTATTCTTATCATTCTTTATGAGCTTAGAAATAGTCTTAAAATCAGACCTGTTTTTTAAATGAAATCTGACGGCAGGCAGTTAGCTCTGATCACCTATGATAAATGCGCCACACCTAATCGCTGGCCATTCAGCCACAGAGCTCCCTCTATACAAATCAAACTGTAGACGGTGTGAACGCACCTATTGTTTAATGGTCGGAATATGACCTGTGAGCCTTCTGAATTACCGTGGGACAGCACATTCTAAACTAAAATGTTCAATCAATAAAGTAACATCGTATCTTAATAATATCTTCATATTAATAATAATAATAAATCATAGAGTATGTGTCCGAAAGGGAGCAGGAGGAAGCAAACACAAAAATATACAAAAAATATACTGCATATTAAAGCAAACGATTGTAAAGGTAAAAGTACGAGCATAACAAATAAAGAAGTGTAATGTAAACATTTACATTATTATTATGATTATTTAATATATAAAGACTACATATTATTGAATTACAAGATTAGATATACTTTAGTTGATCTAAAATATTGATGTGTTCAAATGCTCTTCAAAACACAACTGCAAGTCCATGAAACTTGTCTTTCTGTATTTGTGAATGAAGCGCCATCTCCTGGTTAAAACCTGAAATTGAAAATCTGGCAACGCCCTCTTGGAAAAAAGTGGGAGGGCTTAACATTCCTCGATACTGGTCTTAGGCAGGTCATAGGCAGGAAGCTGTAAGCTGGAGTCTGAAATGAGGTGCTACATCTGTATTTAGGTTTAATTGTTTTAATCCGTCCACGAGCACGACGGCATCTGCGATCCCTCGCTCTACCCCTCGCTATTGCGTGAAGGGTGTGCTTTATGCGCTCCGCACAGTAACCCTGCTGCGTGCTCACTAGCGCACACCCCCCCCCGTTCATAAAGTCAAGTACCCCTCAAAAGGTCTGGTTTATTTCATTTTAAGGATGCGCACCAAGCAACATCTCCAGGTGCTCCTTTGAGAACCAGGGCAACAAAGTTATGTGCACCCCTGGATATAATCATAATAATAATAATGAGAGAAGTTCTGCAGTAAGGATGAGGTTTCACTGACGACAGATGGCTCTGACTTTTATGCGTAGTTGACGGAGCATTTTTACTTTACACGACAATGTTCAACACTTCATTCTGCTTCACTCTTTCGAAAAAGATTTTGAAGACCTCCACGTTCTTGTGACGCATAACTATAACTACAACGCTTGCTATGTGTTGGTCCGGACTGCGTTCACACCAGCGATGATCCGCTCCAGAGTTCACTTGCAAGCGGTCCGAGACCACCTCTTTTAAGCGAACCAGAGTCCGGTTGTTTAGTTCAGGGATGTGCATCTCCATCACTTAGACCGATGCGATGTTTATCTCGATACATTGCCACGATACGATACATTTGAAACACCAGGCGATGCGATACGATACGATTCACCCCTGTTGCGATACAGTTCGATACGATTTGATTCAACATTATGCGATACGGGGCGATACGATGCGATTTAACACAATGCAAAATAATGATACTTCAATTTGGTACAACAGAGGATTTTAGTTTTATTCCTTATATGCAGAAAATCATAAATTAACAAAAATGTGCTTTACATATTTGGTTCTCTCTACTAGTACTGCGCATCCCATCATGCTGTTTCTTTTTTTACGTTTTTTACCTTAAAAAACTCTCCAGAGTACAATTGTATAACACCGCACAGTTTAACTATTTAAGGATGCATTGCCCATGATTAACAATGTGCAAATAACAACTACCATAATGCAATGCCCATACAACTGCCAGCCTGATGTGCTTAACACTCATTCATAGACTAACTCACCAGTGAGCAGAAAGCAGTGGTTTATATATGAACAATAAAAAATACAAATAACCTTTCACAAACAGGTATTTCATAACTGCTTATAAGCAGTTATAAAATACCTGTTTGTGAAAGGTTATTTTAAAAATATATTTCTGGATAGAGTAGCTTATATGTAAAAATACTATCCTCAAAACGGAGGGGCGCCCAGTGTGAGTAGTTCCAATTTAATTCCAGATTCAAGGTCCATATCATATACAAAAAGACAAAACACACATCACAGTGGATAGTGTGGAAGAGTGCAGAATCTGAGGTGTGACGATGGTAGCAGGGACTCCACCATTAGAATTTCAAAACATGGGAAACACTTTTTTGTTAAAATTGTGATTATGCTAAATTGCTGGATATATGCAATATTCTGTTTTGCTGAGCTTTATGACACTACTTGTCATTATTACAATGGTAAATTGCAGAGGTGTGGACTCGAGTCACATGACTTAGGTCGCATTCACACCAGCCTTGTATAGTCCGGTTGAATCGAATCCTGGTGCGTTCAGCAGCTTGGTGCGGTTCGTTTGGGTTGGTGTGAACTAATGTTAATTTCGTCAGCTATTTTTTTATTTAGTTTTAGTCTTAGTCCTGTGTTAAATTTCCTTTTTAGTTTTAGTCATATTTAGTCACCTTCATCCTGTTTTTATTTAGTCAAGTTTTAGTCGACTAAAAGTCTGAGCATTTTAGTCTTATTTTAGTCGACTAAAACAGTAACTATTTTAGTCACGATTTAGTCGACTAAAAGTCTGAGCATTTTAGTCATATTTTAGTCAAAGAAAACGAATTATTTTAGTCTACTTTTTGTCAATGAAAACTGTTGAGTCTTTTTTAGTCATCAGATTATATAGAACATTTCAGTCAAACTAGTCTAGCCAAAACCAATCATTTGTCATTTTAGTATATATAAATAAATAGGATTATATCTTGTCCTTATTTGATGAAAAACACAGGTTGAATGATTAAGAAGCTTTGCAGAGAGTATCTGGTCAGGTTTGTGGTGTTTTTACCAGCTGTGTTTTGGCCACATTGCTTCCCGTCTGATAAAACAATGCATTCACTTTTTTTCTCTGCCTCATTGTAGCGAAAATGGGCCTAAATATCACGTTGTTTCTTTCTCCCAAGCAGTGGTGGCTTTAGACTTTTTCGTTGTCAGTAATTTTGACGGACAGGATTGTAACATTTCCGTTATAATCCATTATTACCCGTCGAGTGCACAATTTATCAATCACTCGCGCTGACGGGGGGTATTCGGTTAACGCGAGTGCGACCACTGCTCCCAAGCCCTGTTGTTGCCATTTTATTTTCTGTTAAATAAGGTTAGTTAGACCATGAGTTAGACCCGAGTCTTCCTGACAGTTCATATTTTGCCGCTGCCCGGTGTAATTCAAATGTACCGCCGCGCGCAGCACAGACACACAGCTGCTGCCCTGCCGCAGCACCGGAAATGGAACTGCTGGGAGAAAAACTGACTATCAGAGATGTAACGTTATCTTTGATAATATTTCGTCTCCTCATTTTTCGTCAACGAAAGTAAAGAGAGATTTTGGCATAGTTTTTATTTAGTAAACTACATTTTCGTCTCGTCACTTTTCGTCAACGATATTGCATGATGATTTCGTTACAGTTATTGTTTACTGCCGTCGGTGCCGTCTTGTCATCGTCTCGTTTTCGTCATGGAAAGAAAGGTTGTTGACGAACATATTTCGTCATAGTTTTAGTCAACAAAATTAACACTAGTGTGAACGCAGTCCGAGACTTCTGAAGTAGGGATGTTAAGATTCACCGATTCGCATCGGTGAACCGGCATAAACGTTCAAGATACGAGTATGAACCCACGTTGGACTCAAGTCACATGACTTAGGTCGCATTCACACCATAATAGTTTAAATGTCTTCCTTGGAAGACATTTAAACTATTATTCACAGTCACAGGCTGCTGTAAACTAAACTCCACTCTCTCTGACAGAACACCTCACTGAGCTCATGTCTAACTTTCAGGTTTCTCTTTTCAGCCGCAGACCCCATGTCGCCTCTTTATGTGCGTCGCTAAGTTCCTCGTACTACTTGTGTACTTTAAAGCGGCACGGCATCGTTTACAATTTGTGAGTGATTTTTAAAGTTGACCGTCTTTCTTGAAAAATCCGAAGTGTTGCCAAACGTTTGATTTGTAGGTATTTTTCCGTGCGCTGTGTTTCTCTTTCTCCTCGACTTCCATGTGTGTTGATAAACTGAGACTTTCGGCCTCCGTAGTGCGAAGCAAAGATCAAAGATCGACTCTGCGGAGTGCTGACAGGATGAGGGGATATTATATTATACATTTTTTTACCGATGCAAAGACGCTACAATCCATGCATCGCGAGTTCAACCCAAACTGTAGCCGATGTGCTACAACCGGTGCACTCGCATCTTGAACGTTTATGCCGGTGCACCGACGCGAATCGGTGAATCTTAACATCCCTACTTCAGAGGTCTCGGACTGCATTCACACCAACCCAAACGAACCGCACCAAGCGGCTGAACGCACCAGGGTTCGATTCAACCGGACTATACAAGGCTGGTGTGAATGCGACCTAAGTCATGTGACTCGAGTCCACACCTCTGCAATTTACCATTGTAATAATGACAAGTAGTGTCATAAAGCTCAGCAAAACAGAATATTGCATATATCCAGCAATTTAGCATAATCACAATTTTAACAAAAAAGTGTTTCCCATGTTTTGAAATTCTAATGGTGGAGTCCCTGCTACCATCGTCACACCTCAGATTCTGCACTCTTCCACACTATCCACTGTACACTACTCAAACTGGGCGCACCTCCGTTTTGAGGATAGTATTTTTACATATAAGCTACTCTATCCAGAAATATATTTTTCAATGCACACACAAATATTTATCACATGAGTGCGTCATCACAAGGGTTTGGTTTAATGCTTTCACAACAGAGCATACATACAGTATATACATACATACATACTGTATATATAAATATAAATATACATACTGTATATTAGACTGATAAGAGCCATTGGAAATAATCTATATTATATTATAGTACCTGAAACAAAGAGCGGTAGGCTTCATCCTTCCTCTCATCTTTTAGATTTCCCACATTTATCGCTGTGACAACCCACTTCTTCTCTGCTGCAGTGTCCAGTATTACCTGAAGAGTCGAAAGACCTGCACACAAACACACACACACACACACAAGTAATATATAATATACAAAGTATATTTGTAAATTGTCCCTGTATTTTCAGTCTACACAAGACAAAGGCTTATGTTCTAAATGTTGTGTTCTAATTTTAACAAATCCTAATTCATCAATGAACATGAACAAAAATCCTTAATACATTTTTTTAACGTTCAACATACAAAGAATAACTACATCTGATATTCAAACACATCCACTTATAATGACACAACATATGTTATGCTATATTACAATATCAAAATATAGTATATTACAAATACTGTTGATATTAAATAAATCATGAGAAAATAACAGACAAAGCAAGCTGTGTTTTCACAAGTTGATGATACAGTGACTCAGAGATAAACAATGTTAATCCAGTTACCTCTATCACTGTCGTATAGATAGGCAAACTTTTCCCATTTGTAGTACTCCACTAATGAAATGAGGGGCCCCTTGATGTCCGGCCTCATCTGGAGAACAAACTGATTCATTCCTTCTGCGGGGAAAGATGGTGTGATGAAGGACACATGTAGCGTCTCACAAAAGGATGTGATGGTGTTTACCGACTTCTTGTCGTAGAAGCCAAAAATGGCGTAGACACCTCGGGAGAACTGGGAACAAACTAGAAGAAAGGGAAAACATTTTTTGAAAACATTAAAAAAAGAGAAGAAATGACTCAGCTGGGCAGGATTTAGGTTATTCAGTATTCAGTTTAAAAGAAGAAAAAGCCAACTACTAGCTTACAGCAGGGCAACACTTTGTAAACTTCCATCTTACTGATGAAGCTCTGGAAGCTGGTCAAAGTAGCACTGCTAGATTACAGGGTTTGTTTGTCAATGCTAGGGTTTGCTCTGGCTTTATTCCTAAACCGTTAATGTCTAACCGCTAATCGCTAACTGCTTACTGTGACCTGTCTCTGCTTCTGCACGCTTTAGTACTGCAAAGCAGTCTCCCGGCAGCAGGGAGAAGGGCGTTTTTAAGTTTAAAAAGGCAAAAGTCTAATGTGTTTAACTAAATGTATTTATTTGAGGCAAAACTAACATTACTCCCATTTGTGACAAATTGGAGTAATGGATGGCTCACTAACTAAGTATTGGCTTGGCCCAAGACTAATATAATTTGTTTAATTGCTTATTGACACTATGTATAATTGAATCTGACCCCCAGTGGCCTTATTAGTGTTCTGCTCAAATAACTACAGTTCCCTGCTCCTCCCCCCTTCGCCCCCTTAACATGGCTTAGTTTCTTAGTGAACAGCTTCCACTACAAACACTAGAAATCTATTAAGAATATGTTTTAACTAGGGCTGTCAAACGATTACAAATTTTAATCAGATTAATCACAGCTTAAAAATTAATTAATCATGATTAATCACCATTCGAACTATGTCCAAAATATGCCATTTATTTATGTATATTGTTGTGGGAATGGAAAGATAAATGAAAGAAGGCGGATATATCCATTTAACATACAGTATCTATGTTTATTATAACATTTTTCTGCGTGTCAAAATGAAAGACAACCCACACACCTATCAATCATCAAACCGTGGGGTCTTAATTCATTATGTGTTGATTTCTATCAACGGGGGAGTACTTCAGGAAAGTCGACAGAGTGGGGGGGCGGCTAGTGGAGTACTTCGTGACCACAGTGTGAACGTTGTGATCAGCTGTTTTAGCGCAGTTCTCCAGTGAAGGGGGGGGGAATCTCCCTCCGCAGCCGGTTGGCGTAGTTTTGGCACAATTCCGTTGTAGGCCTACAGACCGACGTTAACAGCAGCCCTGTCTGTGCACACGGAGACCGACTCTGTCGTCCGGTGATCTAACCGCCTTCTGGAAAAGCTTCACAAGTAGGCCTACGTCGGTACGCAAATGTGCTTTGTGACACAAGTGACGGTACGCATTTCAGATTACGCACATAACCTGCGTACCAGTTATGTGCACCCCTGTACTACAGCAAAAGTATTCGTCGGGACTTCCTGCAACAACACCACGCCGTTATCAAAGATGTTCTATTGAGAAGACGATCACTACGTGACAAAAGTTTTCAAAACCGTGGCTACTGAAATCAATCTTACTAACTGCTGTCTGTGCAATTTACTCCGCGCGAGTTGGCAGACTTTATTTTGCTTACTTTAACATCATTGTTCAAGGTGGGGCTAAGCCATTTCTTGGTAAGGGTGTAGCCTATCCCAGCCATACCCTGGCGCTGCCACTGGTGGCACGTATGGGGCGGGCCATTCTGCACATGCGTTAAATGCGTTAAATATTTTAACGCAATTAATTCAAAAAATGAATTACCGCCGTTAACGCGATAATTTTGACAGCACTAGTTTTAACATTGATATGAGATATAAAGGGTTGGGAGGGTTACTTTGTAAATGTAATTAGCGCCTGAATACTGAATACATGGCTCTGAAAGTAATCCGAATACAGTTACGTGTCATAAAAACGTATTCAGATTACTTTTGGAATACTTTCTTTTTCCATAACAGATGGGTATGTTTTGGTGAACAGGAGACACTTATTTTACTGTTTTAATGGCTTATCAAGAGCACAACTCAAACACAACATCTTGGTGTCATTCTGGACAGCTCCCTCTCATTTGCACCCCACATAAAAAACATCCTCCGGAGTGCATTTTTCTCCAGACTCCGCCCTGTCTCAATCCAGCACTCTAGTCCTGGTTCATGCATTCGTCACATCCCGTATTGAATATTGTAATACCATGCTCTCAGGCCTTCCCATCAAACTACTCAATAAACTTCAAATCATTCAAAACACTGCTGCCCGGACAGTGGTGACTGGTCATTAGGGGCAGGTGGGGCACAGCCCCACCTAGTGTCAGCAGAAAGTATTAAAAATAATGATTTAAAAAATATATATATAAAATATATTTTAAGATCATGTTTAATCATCTGATTCGTCTGTACATTGCTGTTTTAGTCTGTGTTCTTCTAATTAGTGTCTACAGTGTGTGCCTATTGAGCTGTTTTGAGCCATGTGGGACAAAACCCGACCATGCCCCTCCCTCTCACTGTCTAAGTGAATGGTGACTGTAAAAACTGCACTGCGCATGCTCAGAGTATTTTCCTATTTAATGTGTGTGGCAAAAAAGTAATGACCATAGGGGCACGCACTGAGCTGCCATCCCCACCATACGTCATCTCACATAATTCAGAGCTGATTGGCTGTAAGTACGTGAAAAGTGTGGTGTGTGAAGAGGAGACGAGAGAGGTGCAGTGACGCCTCCTAAAACCCGGAAGTAACTTGCGCATGGCTTCCCTCGACAAAAAAGCAATGAGATTTCTCCATAGGATTTTAGAAAATAGCTCCAAATAAGATCTGTGGGAAACGTACCTGTTAGATAAATGCACATTTTGTTCAGCCGGATAATATCCACATGTCTACCCTACTTTTATAATTTTTGAATCATAAATCTATCGATTAGATTTATGATAGACTTTTGAAACTACAAGAAGATAAGGAGGACTTTTACAAAAAAGTAATAGAGATTTTTGTCCAGAAGGATAGGCAAATGGACTTCATCTTCAAGTCAAGGTAAGACCACCATTTTATTGAAAATGGGATCTTACTAAGAGAGAAGTATTCAATATGTAAATGATACAATTACATTTTTTGGGTATCCTTTTGTTGAACTGTCTGTTTAAAATTAATCGAAGCATCAGACAAAAAAAGCTTTTGAAAATAATATTATATTTTGATTTAGGTCAAAATATAATATTTGTAAACCTGAAGAGTCAGAGCCAGTGCCTCACCAGCCATGAACCTCACTGCACGTCACTGCAGGAGCTTATATATAGACATCTAAGTTTGTTGTGCCCCACCACTGTTGTACATATAAAAACGCCACTGTGCCCGGATCAGCACCCGCACCAAATCCTCTGACCACATCACCCCCATCCTCATCCATCTGCATTGGCTACCTGTAAAATACCGGATAGACTTCAAAACCATCCTGCTCACATTCAAAGCCCTCCACAACCTGGCCCCCACCTATCTGGCTGACTTCCTACACCCACCCCCCTCTCTCTCTCTCTCTCCTCTCTCCTGGCCCCCACCTATCTGGCTGACCTCCTACACTTGCAACACAGTCTCACTCTCTGATAGTCCAATAGCAACGCTTGGTCAGGGTCCTTTGGCGTGCAGTTGTGACGCGTCGAGTCTCCTTCAGCTTCATAAACGGACACAAAGAGCTTTCAACTGATTGCAATGTATTCCCATCGGCGGCGGCATTTGACGCTCAGGGAAGCACCGCATCGGTCCATGTCAGCGGCAGTTAAAGGCAATGTGAGCGTCCATTCCCATTGGATAACGGAGAATTTTATACCCGGAAGTAAGTATTCTCCTTACTGTCGATTGATTTGACAGTGATATCTGCACTACTCACCAACTCAAAAACACCAGATTATCCTTGTTAATTACACAACATTGATTGGTTTGAGTTTAGGATTGCCAAAGACACTACACTACCCATAATCCTCAGCTATCGTTTAGGACTACACCATGCGCTTTGCTTGACAAACCCCGTGATTAGTCCTCAAGCTCTGTGATTGGATGTTGGAGTGGCAGTGCGTGAAGTTTACGCCCAGCGTCAAACAGCACTTTGAAATGGAATGAAACCCATCAACGGCACACTATCCAAAACAGGACTCGAACGTGTCCAACCCCCCCCAGAACTACACATCCTGGCTATATGTGTGTTTCACAACATGTTCTATGGCACGTCTCTACTGGGAATTGTAGTTTTAAAAGACGTTTTCGTATAATTAGAAGTTGCCAGTATTAAACTGTACATCCCTGGAGGTTTAGGGGATGGGAAACACATTGGTGATATCACCTTTTAAAAATATCATCTATAAATGGGTGAAAATGGCTTGTGTCCATAATGGGCAGCATTAACATGACAGCACAGGTCAGAAGAGATTTATTTAATAGCTGGTCTTATGTCTGTGACCCCTCCTGTTGTTAATTGATAAGCCTTGAAACATGCACTTGTCGCAGTTCAGAGGCTAATTTAGCAAATATGGCAGTAGGCATCGATCATAAGATAAGATATACTTTATTGATCTCAAGTTGGGAAATGTTTTTGTTACAGCGACATGTAAAACATGCAATTTATTGTTACTTTGTAATTCTACTCAAGGTTCAAGGCTTTCATTGGTCATGCGTACATAGCTACAGTGTGTAACATCCCGTCATGTCTGCTAAATTATTCATGTCAGGTTCGTGTTATTGTTTCACATTTAGTTCATAGCCCAGGTTAGATTTATGTTTAGTCAAGTCTTTTTGTTCACCTGTCTAGTCCTGTCATTGCACTTCCTGTTTTATTTTGTACTTACCTCTTGGCTCTCATTTCAGGTTCCCTTACTTCCTCCCTTTGTGTGTTTTCCCACCATTGTCAGCGTCTGCCCCGCCCCTGATTGTTTCCACCTGTTCCCACTCACCTCATGTTTAAATAGTCATGTCTCCCTTTGTCCTGTGCCAGTTTGTCTTGTGCCTTGTGCCATTAAGAGAGCCAGCTTGTCACGCCAAGAGATGTTGTACTTGATTTTGGACTGATCATAGTCAAGTTTATTTAGTTTGTAGTTTGCCTTGCTAC